AGTTATGCTGCGCAGCTAAGTGTGTTTATTTGCTTCAGGTCTGGGATCTTGGCGGGCAAGAGAGACTCAGAACGTCATGGGCAACATATTATCGTGGAACTCATGCTGTTATCGTGGTGATAGACAGCACTGATAGAGCCAGGATCACAATTATGAAGGATGAACTCTTCAGGTTGCTTGGGCATGAGGATTTACAGAATTCCGTTATTCTTGTCTTTGCAAATAAACAAGATCTCAAAGATGCAATGACACCAGCTGAGATCACTGATGCCCTTTCTCTTCACAGCATCAAAAATCATGATTGGCACATACAAGCCTGCTGTGCACTTACAGGAGATGGGCTGTATGATGGTCTAGGGTGGATCGCCCAGCATGTTACTGGAAAAGCACAAAACTGAAATGGGCAAAATCATTCAAATTGCAGTTTAACCATCCCATATTCATGAATTGAAGGATGAGAGAAACCAAAGCAACTTTTGAGTACAACCTGGTGTACAAAAAGCTGTTTCTTACAAATTTCTAGACTGTTTATACATTTCAATTTTCTTGAATGTCACTGTTTTGTTTTGCACAATGAAACATTTGACAATGAAGAAAAATGTTGCTATAGACAAGACCAAAAAAGTTTACTACAAAAATTGTCACTTTTCTGCACAATGAAGCAACAATTCATTAAACTGGTGAATAACAGCGTCTGCTCGAACACTATAACATGTCTGCAAGCTAAAGCCTCTCAAAACGAAATATAATGTCTCTTGAATCTTCAAATCGGTTGTTATTATCACAAAATCCAGCATCTGCAACCTCGAGCATCTTTGGGGCCCTCAAACCAGCTATCCCATAATGGATTTAGAGGGCCATGTGTTCTGTGGAGCCAAGAACAAGTTTTCAGATATTTCCATTAACATGTCTGAGAGAATTAAAAAATTATTATAAAAGAATGCAGAGTAGAGAAGATGTATTACACTGGGAGTAGTGGATCAGGTCTACTTTCCACATTACTCAGCAATCTGACAGAAATAAATAAACAAGTAAACAACTTTGCACTCGATTGTTTGTTAGCCATGAAAAAGCTAGAATATTTATCATACTTACTCCTTGCATGCAGCCGATGCTTTCTCCATCCTTTCTAGCTGATCCAGCTCCTCCTGTGTGCAAAGATCATTAAAGGTTTAATATTAGGGAGGGTTAGGCTAGTAATTGTTCTAGTACCAAAATTTCAGATTCAGAGCAAGACTCTGAATGTCAAATAAATATAAGGTCATTGAGAAGTTGAAACACATGAACAAAATTTTTCATTTCAACTTTATGAGAAAGCTTAATACTGCAGTTCCTCAGATTTTAAATCTTAGTGACAATAATTCACCCTGATATGCAACTCAAAAAAGTTCCTTAATTATGTTAAGATGGTAAACAGAAATTTTCCTAAATGGACAGCCAAGTTTTCATGCAGCAAAACAAATCTTTCTGTCCTGTCTCCAAACCTCATGCATATAGAGATATTTCAAAGCAACTCTATAAACTGACTTTCTAATCATATTGATAAAAGGGAAATAGCATTAATCAAGCTCTAACTTATGAAGCAGATCTGACGAATGACCTTTAATCAAGGATCATGTTTGAACAATATGGAACCCAAGATAGTAGTGGAAGAAGGCAATAATTGTTTAGTCCAACCTAAATCAGGGAAAATAGAAAAAAAAAAAAAAAAATCTTCTCAGAGTTGATGAGGGAGTTCAAAAAATGGAAGCTCAATGGCAGCTATGAAAATTCCCTTGAAACTATGAAAAGACTGCATATTATTACAGTCTCTAAGAGAACAAAAGTAATGAATGGAAACAATCTCCCTCACGATTTAGAAGCATTTGTTTACCCAAAGAAAAGGAAAAAAAGAAGAAGTTGATGACATACACATAATGTATTTATTGGTTAGACAGTTGAAACTTGACCTGAAATTTTGAGGGATAGAGGGCTTTTCCTTTGGAAAGAGAAAATAGAAGTGGGATAATGAGATGCTAGTTAGCTTTCACAGGGAAGTTCGTTGAGATCTTGAAAGATATGCAACGGACATGCAATGCAGCTCTCAACTGTGGATTTTTTTTTCTTCTTTTTTTTGCCCAATTCTCAAATGAGGATCTCAAAAGCTAGGAAACTAGTGCTTATTCCAAACTAAAAGTAGCCTTTCTTCCACCCCTGAAGTATAACTGTAAATGCCACCCTAGAGATAAGCCACTGACTCACATGATTCCAACCAAGTTATGAATGACCATTTATAACTCTTTTCTGTTTTGAA